GCCCTTAAGGACAGTGCTGGGGTGGTTGAATACACAGAGGCGGGTGTGTTGTTTCGGGGGCCCCTCTCAAAAGGGCACTTTGGGGCCACCCACCCCCTTGTCCCTCCCTCGGTTGTTTCAAAAGACGAAAAGGCTATCAAGTACAGCCAGAAGATAATAGCTAGCTGGCTGGTTACTAGAACATGCAGCTTCAGCATCTCCTAAATAAGGAACATATTTATTTAGTGTGGTGACTGTTTGTGGCCAATGGGGGGGGGGGGGCGACAAACCACAGGGGCCCCACCCACATGCATGGTTTGAGTGGTGGCGAATGCAGTCGCTGTGAATACATCACATGTCATGAACGGGAGCAGAGATAGGTAGAAAAGCCTTTGAGAAGGGAATCTGTGTAAAAATTTCTGTCACTTGTTTTTAGTTAATGTTCCTATAATAGGAGGAGTGACTGAGTGCAGATAATGACTCTGCTACGTTGTCTTTTGGGTTAAGTTCATGTCGGGTTTGTTGAATACCAGTAAAATTTGCTGCTATGTTCAAGACAACATTAGCTCTTTAGAATAACGTTTAACTACCATCAAAGGTGAGGTAGCATGTAGCTTTACGGTTGGTGTGAGTAGACATCTGTAACTTATCCTCATCCTTGAAATGTTTTAATTATGCTGTTAATTTTTCTGTCAAATAGGGGGAAGCTGGTGCTGAGGGATTTAACAGTTGCTGCTCGATGCGAGGTTGTTACGGTTTGCAAATGAGATTTCAGCAGCCAGTTAAAATTCCTTCCACAGATTGTTGTTAGTGTTATGCTGTTGTTACAAGGTGACTGAACCATAAAAAAACGGACACCTGCTGATTCACCGTATGTACCGCGGTATATCACTTAGAGGAGCAGGCCTCTGCGACCAGCCGACCGAAAGGCCATTTAAGTTTATGCAGCAGGCTGAGTTAATTGGTTATTATGACACGCATGCGGCTGTAGCCAATCGGCTCTTAGCTAGAGCCGCGGAATGCTGTCGACACCTTCATGTGCAGATGATCCACCCAAGGTGTGTTGGTCTCAAGTGCAGATTCTAGCATCGTATATGCTACCGTTTACAGTGGTCTTCCTTGGATGGGCTCCAGTTGTACCGAGGCCCCCTGCAGTTGTGGAGGAGTACTTTAGTATTGCTATAATAATTATTAGCAATGGAAGACGCACATTTTGCTCCTGAATTTAGCAAGTGAATTTTTTTTTAAGCAAATCTTTTTTTTCCTTAATTGCGAAAATGTGAACAAATGTGGCGCACATCTGATTGTGAGAATTAACACGCTGTAGGGGGCTCGGCCCAATTTTATTTGCCACATTTCCTGTTTTTTTTTTTTTTTTTGAAGCCTAGGTGACTTAAGAAGCAGTTAGTTCTTTACTACTAAAGTTTTTTTAGCCCGAGATAATGATTAGTACACCTGAAAAGATGAGCATGCTGTCCAGTCTGTAATCCTCAGCCCAGATTGATTCAGACAGCTGGGGTGCTGTGGGTTAATTAGAAATGCCTTAATTAATCCAGACGTGTTGGCTGGCATTTGTTCCTGCTCCATCTATTTGCTTACTATGAGGGTGTAGATGGCTTTTTCACCCAGCAGGCTTCTCCGACTGGCTCACCCTTCAGCCATTAAGGTTCTCCTCCCCACCCCAACCAGCAAGCCTGGTTGAGTGTCCAGGTTATTTGACCGCATTTGTGCCGATACCCACCACAACGGTAATGCCTACTCACCCAGAAGTAAAGGTAATTATAATTACAGTATTTAGTCAGTTTCGATACTGAGGGACTGCTCTGTGACCTTTTGAGGATGTGACAGTCAAATATGACTTCCTAATTCACTCCTCTCCTTAATACCCACAATATAAAAAAACCTTTTGAAATTCTGCCCTTGAACGCAGGACTTCAGTCTTTGCGTTGTACTCTGTGTGGCATGTTGTCATCCCACTATTCTCCATGCTTCCCCTGGTGCTGTGTGTGTGTGTGTGTGTGTGTGTGTGTGTGTGTGTGTGTGTGTGTGTACATACCTCACGTTTTTGACAGGGGAGGCAAGTCAGCGAGTGGATGGTTGAGAGAGGCTTTGTGTGTGTGTGTGTGTGTGTGTGTGCGCGCGTGTGTGGCAGGGCTTGGTGTTTGGGCTGGTGGCAGTGCTCCCTACATCTCCCGTTGCCTGGAAACCGTAATGCACAGATTTGTTAGAACATCTGCTGCAGCCAGCCCTGCCAAATTTGTGTTGTATAGTAAACACAGATTCGCTCTTCCTACGCCAGTAGGGAGGGAGAAAATCGCCTTTTTTATTCGCTGTTCATTTGGCTGTTTTTTTTTTCCTCCGATCCGTTTTCAGATGCACTTCGCTCCGGCAGCCGGAGCCATGCTGGTCATGCTTCAGGCGAGATCTTCTCATCTCGTGCTGCAAGGATGGATCCTTATGATAAAGAAATAAAAATAATAATTAATTGAGACCTAGCCTCTCCTGTTGGCCGATTGATTGATCTAACCTTTTGCTGTAACAACGGCTTTTGTTGCTCGGAAGATATTTAATGTGTGTTGAAATTATTACGGATCCTGTAAAATTTACTATAGGGACATGGTTTTTTAATATCCTGCAATACAGTTAATGCCTGATTTTAAATCTGCATTTGCATATTTCTCACTTGTCCCCTGGGAAAAATATGGATGAAAAAAAATATTTTAGTAGAGATGGCAGTCTGATGCCAAATATTCTTTTTCATGTACTACTATGAATATTCAGTCAAGGTTCGTTTTAATGACTGCCCCACGCTGGGAAGACCAGCGTTCGATATCACCATGGGGGTATTGAGAGAGAACTGATTTTGGGATGTTGGCAGGACCACTATCCGGGGTCCCCAGCGCCATCTTTAATGGAGTGGAGAGCGCTGGCTTGGTGTTCCACCAAACTTAAGGCATATCCTCTCTAGGCAGATGAGCACACTCATGTCAGACCCTTCCCCCCAGCTGAAACCCCTTGTCGATCCATCATTAGCGACTAGCTGAGGGCCGTCTCTGGCTCTTCCTACTCCCGAGCTGGGAGGCGCGAGTCGAGAGCCCATCTGTGCCCGGCGATACTCTTTCATTTCATGCTCGTGCTTGTTTATTTTTTTAACGCACTTGGAATGAAATGAAGCATCTGGTGGGTTAAACCTGGTCTTCGGCGATATCTCTCTTCTGTTTGTGCCGCCGCACCTTCCAGACATTGCACGGTGTACAGGGTGTTTTGGCAGCATTTTTCAAAAGCAATGCCACTATTCCACTATTTTGAGATTTTAACGATAAAATTTGTTCAGCTAGCAGGGGTTGGATCCTCCCACCATAAAATTTGCCACTCGATGGACCTAAAATACCATTGTATTCTGTGTTACCTTAAAACCGCCCAAGCCTAATTAAACCCTTTAAAAGAGGAAAAGAACAATAAAACCTAAATTTGCGTGTGTGTGTGTGTGTGTGCGTGTTATGAAGGCAGCCTTTACTGTTTTTGTCTGTCTGTTTGCTGACTTTGTACGTTTTTATTTTAGTCTTAGCTGTCACCCCCCCCCCCCATTTGTGGTGGTTTTCTTTGCGGTTTCCCGTGCTCCTTGGCCTTCCTGCTCCCTTTATAGCGGCTCGACACGCTCCACCACTGCATGGGCCTTGGGTTTGCTGGGTTTGTTAGACACTTCCAGTGTCCTTTATGATTAAATGCGATTCTGTTTGGTTTATGGTTTCCGCCCTGGAATCTGAGCGCTGATGCCTCTTGCTGCATTGCCATCGTCGGCTGTGGCTTCTGCTTTCCCCCCAGATCCCCATTTTAAGGCTTTATCCCTCACACTCTGCCTGTGTACTTAGTGTGTTTTATTAGACGACCTCTTGCTCTGACACAGCCTGCTGATCAGTGGGGTCCTTGGCGCCATAACTACTGGATCCATAGTAAATCAATTATTCTTTGTATGTAACTTGACATACAACTTGTCAGTTTTGGTTCTGTAATTAGTTAGTAAGCCTTTGTGAGATTAATCAGCTGCTCTTGGTAGCAAATGGCCGCAACTTAACATCAAACAGGGTAACTTCTCTTTTAAAGGGGGTGGTGTGTAGCATTGTAGGTTAGGGATCTGTGCTTCTGCCCAGAAGGTTGTCTGTTCAATTCCCCAGAGTGGGGCCCTTGAGGAATTCCCTGAAACACTGCCTCTGGGGTGCTGCTCTTTGACCCCAGGCATTCCTCACGTTTTTGTCAATTTGGAGTGTTAAATAAATGTTGTGTGAAACTAGGACTGTCTTCTGTTAGTCTTAGTTGATCCACGCTAGAGAGCTGCACTGGGATATCTATCCCCTCCCCAGCCATCCCTGTGAGCATCTAAACCGCCCCCGTCGCCTCCCGGCGTGCACCAGGACCACCCCCGTCCTGTCCCCGTGTGCACCAACACACCAACAGCGCAGTATGAAATTAAACACGTCCATATCTGCTTATAAATATCTTAAATATTAAATTACCCACTTGATACTTTTCCCCAAATGTATTTAGTTTGCATTATTCAGACCAAATTATTGCATTTTTATTCTGAAAAACAAAATAGCTTAGAACTCATCTGGAATTGCTGAAAAACTTTATGGGAAAGTATGTGGCTCAGCGGGCAAAGCCTCTGTGCCTATAATCAGAAGGTCATCAGTTCAAGCCCCGCTTCGGTGGAATAGTCTGAGCAAGACCCTTAACCCCCAACTCTATGGGCCCTGCTATGCATGGCTGCCTTTTCGCTGCCAAGCTTTTTGTCTCCTACATATGTGTCATGGAGAACAAGATTGGGTGGGTGAAAAGAGAATTTCTCCATGGGGATCAATAACATGTCATCATTCATTTTATCTTTTCCGTGTTTGAGGTCTTGTACTCATTCTTTTTTCCCCATTCCCACGGATTACTGCGGATACCCATGGTATGTCCCCCATTCCTGTCCATGCCTTGGACTACCTGACATCTCGGCGCTTTTCTATCGTGTCCCACAGGACCGAGCCATGGTGAAACTGAGACCAGGGAGTGCTTGTATTACAACGTCAACTGGGAGATTGAAAAGACGAACCAGAGCGGCGTGGAGCGCTGCGAGGACGAGAAGGACAAGCGCTCGCACTGCTACGCATCCTGGCGCAACAACTCAGGCGCCATCGTGCTGGTGAAGAAGGGCTGCTGGCTTGACGACTTCAACTGCTACGACAGGCAAGGCGGCGGCCACCCCGCGGGTCCTCGCTGGCATTATTAATGTCTGCTGATGGCCTTTTTGCTAATTGCTCATTATTCAGCTCAATACCTGCATGGAGGATCGTTAAGCCTTCCCGTTATTTGTACCTTGACGAGTGAGTTTGTTACTAATGCAGATGGAAGATACTAGACTCTTTGTGGTAGAATAACATGTGGATTAAGACAACATAGTTAAGATTTACTGGTAGTGCTGAAGAGAAAATATAACATTTATAGAGATATTTAGGTCCCTCTTTAATTTAAGATTTTCATTTTTATCGTTTACAGGTAAAGCTTGCCATCTTCAAGGCTAATTTCAGATTTATTGAATTCCTCATTATACACAAGGTTTTCCTGCTGTTTTGACTGAAGCGGCAGTTTTGTAAGACATTTGTTGACCGAGAACTTATGATGGTCCTGCGGTGTGTCTCTTGGGTAACGGCAGGCAGGAGTGCGTAGCCACTGAGGAGAACCCATCCGTGTTCTTCTGCTGCTGTGAGGGCAACTACTGCAATGAGAGGTTCACCCATCTGCCTGACGCCAGCGGCCCAGGTAAGTGGGCAATCCTCGGTCGGCCTTATTTTACCGCGGTCCCGGTGTGACTTCTGCCAGATGCCATCCCTGAGCAGCCAGCAGTGGATGCCAAACATTGTGTTTTTTATTGTTACATTATTTTTTATGGCAAAGATTTTGATATTATGGGATCATATTGAGATCGGCATCAGAAGTTTCTTTATTGGCTGGGTATATCTGCATGTACTAGGAATTTATTTTGACAGTATTTACTTACATTTACAGAAAACAAAGAACATACATTTTAAAAATGACTAGAAATGAAATAAATAGAATAAAATAGACTTCAGTATGGAAAAGTTAAAAGTACTGATTATAACTTAATTCCCTTTATATAATGGTCATTGGTTAACCTTTTGAAACGCTGTTTACGTTACATGTTATATGATGTCAGGCTCGTCTTGAAGTTTTGGGTTGGTCACAGGGTCACTGGGGGGTGGGGGACAGTGATTGGCTTATGATTGGGTGGGTGGGGCCTGTTTTTTGTTATTCTTGCTGAGTAACAAGGTGTGCACTACTCCATCATGGAATAGCAAACAGCATTCACTGGTTTTCAGTGATGATGACACGTACAGAGAGAGAACGTGTGAGGGTCTGTCTGCTGTGTTACCAGTGATCCGGGCCCCGCCGTCCACGCCCTCCACGCTGACTGTCCTGGTCTACTCCCTGCTTCCCGTTTCCGTGCTCTCGGTCATCCTGCTGCTCGCCATCTGGATGTATCGCCACCGCAAGCCGCCGTACGGCCAGGTCGACCTTAACGAGGTAAGCCCGACCTCTGCCCAATTGCACCGTGGGATCATGGGAGTTGATCATTTTTACAGTGGGATCCAGTGATTTAGATTAACCTTAGACGTAATTGGGGTCTTTCATTGTGCAGTGTGTCCCGACCCAACAAAACTGGGGCTCCGGTGGTTCCTCAGGCGTCTGTGGGTGAATTTTAATATTCCAGCAAAACAGCCGCGTCAGTGTCCAGGGCCTGTATTTCACAAATACTGTCCATGTTCCTCGAGGATGTATGTATAATTAGATCACCCAGCCCATTCAGGGTCTAAGGAGAGACTATGTTAATACTATGTAAATTATCACACCCAGCTGATTCCCAGTACTGAGAACTCGGATTTTAGAATAATGATGGGAATGGGTACTGAAGACTTCAGTGGGCTGAACTGTTTAGAGTATCCTGTCCGAAATGCGTCTGAGAGCTGTGAACATGCATGTGGCTGGTAAGGAGTGATCAGCTGTCCGCTAGTTAAAATGAATTTAAATTACCACAGGATGACCTTTAACCCGAAACTGGACTTGGTGCTCCACCCAGGAGAAATATTTGTCCAGGATGTAGGGGTGGGGGAAGGGCATAGCACAGATCATTACGCTTCTGGAGTGGCGTAGAGCCTCACACCTCCCGGGTCCTGGATTTGAATCCTGCCTCTATCCAGTGCTTTTACTTTCTTACACTTTTTTTTGGGGTGGGTGGGTGGGTGGGGGGGGTTTATGTTGCGTGTTCTTCCCGTGTTTGTCTCCTCTAGGTTACCCAGCTTTCTTTCCACAGTCCAAACATACTTGGTTTGATGAATTGGTCTCTCTCTGTTATCCGCAGTGTGATGTGTGAGAGATCAGCTCTCTGCTGGGTTAATGCCCATGGACTGTTCTTAGTGCCATTTTATGGCATTTGTTTTGCTTTAACTTCCAATAAGTATTTAAAGCATCTACTTCACTCTCAAACTGCCATAAATAGATTCCCAAAGGCCACATTGTAGCTCCTGTATTGCATGGCAAATGGAATGATCTGGTACAGACATGTATTGTATTGCACCCTAAGTAGCTGGTTACATCCTGTATTGTGTTGCAGCCCCCATCTTAAAGCTTTATGCATTGTTACATATCTTTTGTATTTCTGTCGTTTAGGTTCGTTTGAGTTTTTGTAATACGATCGCTTTTGGCTTGTATGAGATTTTCGCTTATTTCAGAGACTGACCCGATGGGCGGGTTGTGATGTGCTAACCACGGCTTCTTCCGTTATCAGGATCCTGGCCCGTCCCCACCCTCCCCTCTGGTCGGCCTTAAACCTTTGCAGTTATTGGAGATCAAAGCCAGGGGGCGCTTTGGCTGCGTTTGGAAGGCTCAGCTGATGAACGAATATGTAGCTGTGAAGATCTTTCCGATTCAGGTCTGCTGCCAATCTTATGCACCTTGCCTTTTTGATGCTAAAACTCTGGTGATACCGGTTGGAACCCATGCGGTGCCCTTCACCACTGGTGCCCCCTAGCTGTCTTTGCTAAGAAGGCAACGTCTCTGAAGATGTCACTTTAGATGGCCACCTGTGTTACCTAACGAGCTGGCCGGCATTGACCTTGGATGACTTGAGTGATTTTCCGATTTAACGACAACTCTTGTGTTTATTTCAACATGACTGACGTCAGTTACAGTAACTATTGTTAACAGGCAAAACTGAATCGGGTGTTGATTTGTGTCTGGTGGATTCTCCTTGGTGTTGAAGGGTAACCAGTTACGTGTTTTCGTGCAGGACAAACAATCTTGGCAGAACGAGCGGGACGTCTTCATCACGCCGGGGATGAAGCACGAGAACCTGCTACGGTACATCGGGGCGGAGAAGCGCGGCGCCAACCTGGAGACGGAGCTGTGGCTAATCACAGAGTTCCACGAGAACGTGAGCATGACCTTCGACCACCCTGAAGGAGAAACTCAGCTTTTCAGCCTTTGAGTAGCATTTAATGGCTTCTTGATGATCCATGCATTTAAAACGAATGCATTTTATTGTCAGTTTTATTCTGAGGTCACGTGTCTGTTCACCATTATGGAATAACACTTTAAGGCCAGATAAAATTAGCTTAAGAGCCCTTCATTGGTAAATTGATCTGAAGGGTTTTAATGAGGATTTGGTTTGAGAGAGACTTTCTTTCCACATATATGGCCGCGGTTTTCTTTTCTGGGGATGGCGGGTACCCGATCGGGATACTGAAACTCGTCATTTCCCGAGCAGGGGTCCTTGACGGATTACCTGAAAGGCAGTGTGGTTAGCTGGAGCGAGCTGTGTCACATCGCCCAGACCATGGCCCGTGGGCTTGCCTATCTGCACGAGGACATACCTCGGCACCGGGGACAAGGGTCCAAACCTGCCATCGCCCACAGGTACAGCCATATATTATTTTCTTTTTCCACCTGCCAAAATCGACATTCTTCCCTACTGCACTGTTTATGAATGGTGTGCTACTGCCCTCTGGTGGATAGAGGATGTTTTATAGGTTCCTTAGGTTTAGTTAAGCTGAACAAATGGGCACCAGGTATAAAAATAGGCTCTTCCTTTATAATCCCTTAGCAGGAAGCTATAGCTCCACCCCCAGCAAGAACCCTGTAATTTCTGCCATTTCAGTTGTAACAGGCAGGGAAAATAATCACAGATCCCCTTCACACCCGGGCTGCAACGTCTTTGACCTCCCCCCCCCCCTCCAGGAGGCGCCACAGATCACTTTATGCCAAAATAGACAGGCATAAGGACGGTTTCTCCCCACAAGCCATCACTCTTACGATCGGCTGACCCGGCTGCCTCAGCTCATTTGCACGGTTACCCCCCCCCATCCCACAGTACCTCATAATTGTAAATAACCCACTGTACACATTGTATTATGCGGTAGATACTGTATATGTATCAGCTGAGTCGTCTGTGACCGTTGTCTTGCCTGTGTTACTGCCTGCCAGGACTGTGTCTGTACACATAATTGGAGTGTGGCCTTCAGTTACATGACTTCTGTTTCGCAACTAACGATGAAACAAATACATCTCTTGACATGGGCGGAACCTAATTCACAAGTAGAAAGTATTATGCTAATTGTGGTTGTGAGCTGGTTATAACCGATGCCGGTTAGTCAGTCATTATGGTGAAGCGAAAGCATTTTGGTTTAGCTCTGTTAAATTATGTCAACTCTGTTATACTGAACTCGGATATGTTGCACGGAAACGCATCCAACATGCTCGCTCGTTCGAGACGACATCATCCAACATGCTCGCTCGTTCGAGACGACATCATCCAACATGCTCGCTCGTTCGAGACGACATCATCCAAGTGCATACATGTGTTACTGGAGCAAGGAAAAATCAGCCTCTGCAAATTAGCCTCCCTGTGGCATTGAGGTGTTTTTGGCAGGAAATTCAGACTAGGCTTGAAAAAAACATATAAGGCTGTTTATCACTATGACTGTGCAACCATATTCTATAGTAAAGAACATGAGTTTTACTTTACTATGATTAGACTTAATTTTGAGTTTTTATTTATTGAACATTTTTATTTAAAAAATGGGCAAATAAGCATTTTTTAGCAGCTGTTATTCATACACGTCGACACACACACATTGCCTTAACATATGGTTTAAATTGCTCCTAATTGAAATGTTTCAGAACAATTCTTTCCATGCATGTTTTCAACCCAAAACCGATATTTGAACCGAACCGTGAATTTTGTGAACTGTCACTACCTCTGTATATGTGCCAGCCATTGACAACCGGAGATAAATTCCCTGTATGTATGCATGTACATATTTGACTAAATAAACCTGTTTGATTGTAATGGTTTTATACCATTTGTGTCTTAGGGACTTCAAAAGCAAAAATGTCTTGTTGAAGAATGACCTGACGGCCATTATTGGAGACTTCGGTCTTGCCGTTCGGTTTGAGCCGGGAAAACCGCCAGGCGACACTCACGGTCAGGTGTGTTACCGTCAGGGAGTCCCCCCCCCCGCCCCCCCCCACAGAAGGCTCTGCTTGAGGTGCATCACCCCTCACCTTTACTCCTTTCTCACAGGTCGGAACCAGGAGGTACATGGCTCCGGAAGTCCTAGAAGGAGCCATCAATTTCCAACGCGACTCTTTTCTGAGGATAGACATGTACGCTATGGGCCTGGTGTTGTGGGAGCTGGTGTCTCGCTGTAAGGCCGTGGACGGTGAGTGGCGGACCCCCGACGGGAAAGGGGGGGGTCACCTTCTGATGATGGGCACGGTGTCCCAACTCGCTGAGCCACACAAAACCTCCATGATGCTTGTTGGTAATTAGAGGACACTTCTTTGTTGCAGATATTAATCTAGGGATTGTTATTATTCAATAAAATCATTATGTATAGTTTTTTTTTTTTTATCTTTCATCCTTTTGTAACTGGTTATCCAGTACAGGGACACTCTGGATGGGATGCCAGTCTGTCAGAGCGCCCAAACACATGAAGTGTAATTTTAGGCACCAATTCTCTTAAGTAGACACTTCTTGGCCTGTGGGTGGAAGCCTGTGGACAACTCCTCCATTTTGGTTTCAGAATTCCCTTCCTCAGCGGAGCCAGTAAGGCTGACGTTTCATCCTGAGAATGTAGCCAACGGGGACCGTTTTTCACCTTCATGATATTTAGGACATTAAATATTTTCTTGGCCACGGAGTTTCAGTCTAGGTATTTTGTGGTTTTTCTAGCACTCTCCGCGAGAGCCCGAGGGCCTTTCTCTGCCCCTGGCCTTAGGATCCCTGGCTCTAATGTGCATTGGGGCTCTCTGTGTTCCAGGTCCGGTTGATGAGTACAGGCTGCCCTTCGAAGAGGAGATTGGGCAACACCCGTCACTGGAGGACCTGCAGGAAGTTGTTGTCCATAAGAAGATGAGGCCGACATTCAAGGACTGGTGGTTAAAGCACACGGTGAGCCGATTCATTACCCCTTGGCATGTGCTTTCAAGGGCAAGGGGCAATGTGTGTCACTTAAAGAAATTCAAGGTCCTCGTCTAATTAATCTCAAAATTGCATTACAAGGTGTAAATTAGACTGATTTGGTTAGCAAGGAATTAGTTTTTTTTTCTTGTATAAATTATATATGAATTGTGCCGTTTCCATTTACTTATATTTAATGTTTAAAACCATTCCCCCCAAATACTTCAATGTAGACCGGACTTGAAAATTAGTAGATTTGTAGGATTTCAGTGTTGGTGGTATGAGATGCAGACTTTAACCTTGGGGGATGATGTATGGCAAATATTTGCATGACTTCTATTAATGAAATCACACTCTATTTACAGTTTAGCTTATAGAAAATATCATTTACTTTGTTGTCTTCTGGCATTGTTTCGCTCCCTCTACCCCATTTCCCTGTTTGATGCACCACTCTGTATTAATAATGTAAGAATGGATTGCCACACACTGTTGGCTTGGGGTGACTTTTGTGAGAGGTGCATTACAAAATAGAGGGGCAATATCATACAGCGAGCATCTATAATGCTGGAAAAATGTTGTTTCCAACATGTAAATTTAATATGTGGATTTTGAGGATTTCTCTATATTCACACCATGGAAAGATATACAAATTGACTCGTTGAAACTACTGCTTGTTCTTGCTCTGAGCCGTTTTGTTTGCCAATGTCTAAAACTTGCATCCAGAACGCTGGAATTGCCGTTGAATTCAGTTCATGTTGTGCTAGTGTAGTGTGTGACCAGTTGGTTGCTGTCCCATGTGTGTCCAGGGCCTGGAACAGATATGCGAGACCATCGAGGAGTGTTGGGACCATGATGCAGAGGCACGCCTGTCCGCCGGCTGTGTGGAGGAGCGCATCAGCCAGATCAACAGACTCACGAGCGGCATTACCTCAGACTGCCTGGTCTCCACAGTGACTTCAGTCACCAACGTGGACTTCCCGCCCAAAGAGTCCAGCATCTGAGCCCGTCAGCCTGAGAGTTGACTGAACGGAAAACACGACTTTTTCCCTCTCTCTCTCTCTCTCTCTCTCTCTCTCTCT